TATATATATATATATAAAACATGCTTTCAACGAGACATTTATATATTCGTGGTGATCAACGTTGCCTCAATTTTCGTGCCAGTTTCGTGTTAGCGTGTGTTTCAAGTCAATCAAAACAATATCTGTCATATAAATATTCGAAATATTTGATACAATTAACAAAATGTGTGTTAATTAGACATATGAAATTTTATGAGTAGAAATTATAGAGAAAATAACACAATATCATAAAATTATTTGTAGTTTTTAATTACTGAATTCATTTCATTTTTAATATTCTTCAATCATACTAAAATAAAGTAATAAATAATCTTTTCAAGAGAAATAATTAGCACAAAAAGTAGTAATTTAATATTTGACATAATTTGACTTTTATTTTTCATATGCTATTGATTATTTTATTTATTGAAAAGAAGAAAGTACATATTTTTTAACTTTTAACTGAAATTTAACTGAAATTTATGAAAGAATTGATAGAAAAATACACTCACATTCAGCAACGCTGAAATACAGGCTTTAAATAGAAAATAAGTTAATATAATCTCACGCAAGTAAATACACATGTGTACGCAAGAAGAGTAGCTAGGAGTTATCAGGCAAGAAAAAAAGACTTTTCTGATGTCACTATATTCTATGTGCCTTCTTCCGCTTTCGATGAAGCCAGTAAAATGTACCTATTAATGTTTGCAAATACTATAACACAAGGCTCGAAAGAAAACTCTTTCGCTCTCGGAAACAAACACAACAGTTACTCTGTTACTTCTGTTATTTCTATTCTGTTTTAAAAACAGAGGAGTATCGGTTTATAAATAAACATTTGATCTCGTGTGTACTTTTTTCTAAAAATTCATTAAATGGATCATGTAGTCATGAAAGCTATATGTGATCGACAAACGATATTTTGACCAGTTAAAAACATACAGAAAGGTATTAATGAACAAATAAGATAATTAGCGGGATGTTCCTCGAAACATTTTTTTTAAGAATGTAAAAAAGACTTTTTAAGAATATCGATTTTGAGGAAACAATGCAAGGTAATTTGTCGCTAGTAAAAAAATATGCGAATATGCAAATAATGAATAACTGCATATCTAATTATGTATCTGACTAAAGAAGAAGGGCTAATTTTCTTTGTATGTATAATTATTGCTAATAGCTTAGTACATAGATATATGTGTACATAAATAGAATAATTCTGTGGTATGCCTTTATGACAAATACGTTTGTGAAATATATGAATGTGCCGACTGTAAAATATAATTTCTTTTTTTTTTAATAAAGTTTCTTCACGTGTGCAAATTGCCACAATCTTATTCACATATTTATTCGCATCTTAATTTATCTTTCATTCGTATAAAGTATAATCAACTCAAAAATATACCTCTTAGTAAACAGTTTATAATAAATGTTGCGTGCCCACGCGATATATAAAATACGATACGGAAAAGGGGACAATCGGAGAAAAAGCTTCGTTAAATTTATTTGTATGTTCCCTGTAATAAAATAATGAGAACATAGAAAATTTTCTGCCCTTTAAGAACTCCTTCCATGATAAAAAAGCGATGCGCATATCATCGAACCATAATAAAATAATATCGCCACACTTTGCGTGTTACGAAGCACTTCGTGCCGAGGGCATCACTCGAAAGTTCTTGCTGCGCAAGAATAAAAATACTTCTCATATCTTCGTTTGTAATATGCCTATGCAAATTAATGTATCGCGGAGAACATTTTCTGACCTTGGCGAAACGCATACAGTTTTATTTCTCTATAATCTAGCACAAAATTGCAGAGCGATAGAAAAATTGTTTTTGAAGAGATTAGCTGTTTCTTGGAATCTCCTTATATAGCTCATATTTTTTTGCAGATATATATTAGGTGTTGGAATTAATTCGTAGCGTTTTTAATGAAAGAATGTTATTTATTTCACATGAGCATTAAAAAATACATTAATGAAAGTACTTCCCATCACTTGTAAAACGCTACGAATTAATTCCAACACCTAATAAATTATTTTCTTTGCATTTTGTTAGTATTGTAATTATAATATGGCATTATATTATAATATTATATATATATATATATATATATATATACACACACACACACACACACACACACACACACACACATATATGTATATACGATTAATAAACCGGAGTATAAAACATAATCTTTTGATACCTGCAAATGATTCATACTATCTAAACGTTTTTATCTAGACAAAAATAATTAATCATCGTCATTCGTTAATTAATTCTTATCTTTTCGAACTTCTCATCCTGTAAGTTCTATCGTTCCTCCAAAGTACTAAAATGCGATTGTATCGTTTCGATGAAAACAAACGGAAGACTGAATTGTCATTGACCTACATTCGCAATAACTGCAGATTAAAATCAAGTGCATCCTATCAATCACTATCAGCTTGTCGCTCAATATTTGAAGGATCCTTCATAATGCAGGCACCGTTACATGCTCATTATCGCGCATCGCAATTTATAGAGAGAGAAAGAGAGAGGAGGGAGAGAGAGAGAAGGGAGGGAGGGAGGGAAAGGGGAGGGAGAGAGAGAGAGAGAGAGAGAGAGCCATTAGATAGAATTTCTCATTTACGCATCGACGTGTCGCAAAAAGCTTGTAAAATGATTCGATGCTGATAGAAAGTCTTAGGTCAACATAAAAATGATGATCAAATAATGGAAGCTTTCAGACGTCAATTTCAGAGGACCGCATTACGTGATAGAACAACCAACCAGTGAATAATAGATACGACCGCAAGTGAATTGTGTCATAAAAAACAAAGAATAGTTATTTGGATTTATAAGCTTCCTCATGTCATAGATACAAATAGAAATTGCACCTATCACATCGTTAGTATATTGCTTAAAAATGACAGCTTAATATCGATATGCCATATCTATTATATTTAACAATAAATTTTTGAAGAATGCTAAATTAGTCTAAAGTTTTTTCCTTTACGTAATTCTGTGAAGTACGATATTCTATAAAAATAATAAACACGCGTAACGAGTGTATATATTCATCATGTTACATAACAATATGTATAGATATATGTTCTTTTGTAGATAAATCAACTAAAAGGAAACTAATTGTTTTGTAGTCGAGTAAATACCGATTATATATTATACAGAGCGAAATATATCGAATTAAGATGAAAATTTTATTGAGAATTCTAATATGGTATAAATTACGCTTTCGTTCTTTAGCAAGAAAAATTATTGGAACTTAGGAATGGCCATTGAACTGAACAAATTACGTTGCAACAAACACCGTGGCCTGTTTCTGTCATTTGTTTCTGTCGTTCTTTTAAGGAGAGCAAATCAAACGTCATGAAAATTCACGGATGCAATTTCCTGTGTGTGAGACATGTATCAATTAGAGACCAAATCGACCGATGATTCTTAAGGAGATTCTTAATGAGAATATTTTTTTAATTATTTATGTAAGTTTTCTTTAAGACGACGTAAAATACGAAATACATTAATGAAATAATTAATTTTATAAATTAACAGACTTAATCAATTAAACTTAATTTCCGCTATGCCTATTAATTAATATGAAATTTTGACGGAAAATAACAAATTATTAAGATGCTTAAAAAAATTAATAGTATTTTTTTCTCTATTAATAGTAGTAGCAAGATTAGTTTAAACTTTATAATAGAGACTGAAAAATTAATTTGTTAAGTGTTTTGAAATTAATGTTAATAAAAAAACAAGCTTAGATATCAATATTCCTGTTACATAATAATAACAATTCTATTAATATTATTGTTATGACCATTATCGTTTCAATATAATATGATTTATAAGGTTAATATATTTTATATTGTTATTTTTTTTTTTTTGAAAATTTGAAACAGTAACATTGCTAAATTACACATACATTCTGCTACATAATATATCCGATTTTAAATTTTAAGAGACAGATTTATTTATATATTCTGTATATTTTTTGTCGCAGTCTTTTTGCCGTAATACACATATTCCATACTCGATTAAAATTTGATTTCAAAGAAACAGCATGAAAAAAAGATAAATCTTTAAAGAACAATTTAGTTAATTAGTCTTTGACAAAATACTATGATCTATGATTATTCAAGTGAATAGTTTAGGACGATTAATATACCTGTTGCTACCTAAAGAAAGATGTTCACGTATTTTGTACATTTCAGAATAATAACAATAGGTTAAATAAAACACGAGGTACGTATAATAGATTATCTTGAAACAGTTAGTTTCTTTTAATTGATTATTGATGTATGCATAATAACTATACGTGGAAGTCGTACTAGATGCTATTTGCTGCGACTCCAGATCGATAATGGAAACGATAGAAATGGGACATTTGAGTTCATTATACCTACCCTTTATATCAATATTTATAGCTTTATATTTAAGATTGCCTTAAGTACAATCTTAAGTTGTCACAAGTTAATCATAAAGTATTAATATCTTAAGACATTATTTAAGATGGTCTTGAAATAAGAATAGAATACTGGCATAATCTCTGCAATTGCATTCATAACAACTAAATTATTTAAATAAACTATTTAAATCAATATATAAATCGCATTTATATATAATATTATGTTACTATTTTAAATTTAAATTATTAAAAACAAGTCAAAAATATTTTTACGTAAATAAAAAATAATTTATAAATATTTCTATGTATCTATGTACTAAACGATTACATCACAATTATTGCGTATAAAATAGGTTTTTAATAATAAATGTCATAATTTGAAGGATATCTTCATTTTAATATTAGGTGTTGGAATTAATTCGTAGCGTTTTACAAGTGATGGGAAGTACTTTCATTAATGTATTTTTTAATGCTCATGTGAAATAAATAACATTCTTTCATTAAAAACGCTACGAATTAATTCCAACACCTAATATAAATGGAAATAATTAATGTATAGACAAACTGCGATATTATATGTATTATACTGCGATTTTATATCGTGAATACTTTAAATTCCGTAAATTAAAACAATATATTATTATTAAAGTATTGTTTAAATCAACGTAGCGTTACAAATTGTGTAGAATTCTAAAATTAAATTTATTTTTATTTAATGCTTCAGAAGTATTAGATGATTGGAAGAGAAAATTTGCAATTAGAGAAGGTACGTGTCAACATAAACGGCTCGAAAGATCACTATCAACTTAAACAAGCTTGCGAGTTGTTTCTGAAATAACCTACCCTACTTCGAATAGGGCGTGCAGAGGACACGCTCGTGATCGATAGACATGTACTATCTTTTCCTAAGCACGTGGATCAATGGAGGCGACTTAAAGGTACGTTCTCGCTCTGGAATATCTCATGAGTAGTAATCAAATCGATTCTATTTCGTAATTATTTAAAAATATACCGTAAATTTTGCAATATCAATTATTTTATTGATAAAAAATTGTGAAATTTTTAGAAAATTCTGCAATTATTTCTATTTCTTGTATGTGCTATTGATTTTTGAATGAGCATTTAGGGATAAAACAGAACGCGTCAAGTTCGACTACAGCTTGATCATCATTTGTTGTTAACGTCAATGTTACTTGATAATTTTTTCATTAAAATTTTTTGGAATCCAATTAAAACGAGTTGATGTACGTTCTTATGATTGCTATATTTTGTTTGTCAACAGTTATTAGAGAAATGTACATACCTTATCATAGATGATTCATCCGAGATATTCATATCATCGATGTATTGTATAAAAAGACACTTACCTTCAGCTGTTCTTGACGACGGTATGCGTGCAACATTAATTGTTTCCGTTCATCTTCTGACATTAATGGCTCCCTCGCTGGTTTTCCAGATCCTCTTTTTTGTAGTTTCACAATCACTTTAGTTTTCTCGTTATTACCCACAAAGTCCTTCATCTTCTTCCCAGGTAATAACTCCTTTCCGGAGAACCATAGTTGAGCCAGTTGCATATCGATTACCTGTAACAAGTGTATGTCTTTCCAAATGTTGATAAAGATGTCGCCTATTTCCAACATGCTGAATTTTTTCACAAGTACAAAAATTTAAAGAACGTTTTGACTTTTCCTTTTAGATGTCTGTATAATATTTTTAAATGACAAATTAAATTTGCTTGAATGTATATGAATGTATTTTTGCAGTCTGTTCTCTTAACGTGTATTTATAAAAAAAAATATGTCTCTTATTTTTATATTTATTTTAACATATCCAAAGTTTATTAAAATCGAAGGGGGATATGTTTACAATTTTTGAAGCATTTGTGTTGTTTTATATTGTCATATTAATTATAAATATTTAAAAACACAATACATACATACCTCGAGAGAAGCTTGAGTACCGGTGAGATCTTCGGTATTCTCAAATTCTTTACGTATCACATCGTGTAGTGGAAGTCCCATCGGATAAACAATCATGACGGCGCCTCTTAACAAATCCAGAGCTTCTTGAACTGTTTTTTGAGTAATCAGTTTCTCTTGTTGCACTAATTTCTGCGATTATATGAAATGATATTAAAGAATTTGTGAATCGAAAGTTTAGAAAGAGTAAAATGTAATAAATTAAATTGCATTTACTTTTGATGTCATGGTACGTGCATCTTCAATAGTTTTTTTCAGCACCTCCTGCATCTTTTCGTTGGGTTGTCTGCCATTTCTGCGACCTGTATTTATCTAAACTCAGTCTTAATTTATTATGTGAGATGTGCATGTGCAATTTTTTAAATACAATTTCGCGCAATTTTCAGTAACATTTTATATTACTTTGTAAATATTTGTAAAACTAAAATAAGAGATTCAATAACAAAATATTTCATGCATTTGTTTTATACAATAGTAAGATTATTTTTGTTATAAAATATCAAAATGTCAAGATAATTTTACGATAATTATTTTAAAGTTTTATTGACATTATTAAAAAATAGAGAAAAATAGGCAAAAAGAAAATATAATAATACAAATTAGAAGTATCAAAAAGAAGTTATCAAAAGTAAAAAAAAGAAAGAATATATATATGATAATTTTAGTAATATAGCTTGCATTTGTTATTAAAATATGAAATAAATAAAATATATATAATTAATATCATAAATTATAAGCTAATATATTTAAAAAATATATATATATATACTTTGCTTTCTTTACTAGCTCTGCAGGCATTTATATTTTTTAACAGTTCTTATAAAAAAATCCATGATTCAAAAATTCATTATCGATTATAACAAGAGGCGTTAATTTTTATAGTAAAATCTATTATTATGTGAGGCCGGCGAAAAATGTTACGTACCGATCTTGTCTTTGTTGAAAGTCCAACCGCCCATGGGCACGCACTTGTCTGCCCATTCGTCCTTGAGCTTGAGCTCCTCGACCTGATCGTCCGTGAGGCCCATTATGTCAGGTGGTAACATCACGCCATGCTTAGCCAGCTCCTCGATCTCTGTTTTTCACAAAAGAGATACTTATGAGAAGGCAAACGCGCGAGAGGGAGAGTGAGCGACCGTATTCAAGTATATAAGTCCGTATAATTATCCCGCGTGACTAATATCACACGATGGCCAGGATAGATGGGTTCATAAACTCAAGCCTCGACTTCTTATTACATGCTGTTATTACTAGCCGCGGGTGTGCTCCGAAGAGATAATCACTAATGGATTTTTCGCGTTAATATTCTGACTGCAAGGCCAGGGCCTGCCACATAAGTTCACTTCGTCCCACAAAAGCTCGTTAAAAACAATTGATATTATCTTCATTGCAGCTTATTCGTTTCTTATAGACATACTGTTCAATATTTCTTATAACTTAAATTTTAAATTATATTTAAAAAACTTAATTTTGTATCATAAGAAGTATGGTATCGGATAAAACTAATAATGTAACATAAAAGAATTTTTCGTATTTGTCCTGTTAAATTTTATATAAAAGAGTAGAATAAAAAATTATTTCTTTATACTTACTTTTTAATCTTACAATATAATTATGATTCTTCAAAGTAATCAAAATAATACGAAATTTTTTAAACGTATGTTTAATTAATATTTTCTCAATATTTGGGAAACCTGCCACTGTAAAGAGTACATAATAAATTTACCATAACAAATTCTTGAAATCTTCAAACGACCATTGTAAATCACTACGATGTCAGATATGACATCGTCCACATTCGCCTCCACATTGGTATCATATAAAAATTGACTGTCGTCACCTTTCTTTATGTGCAATCTCACCATTTTTATCAAGTCAAAATTTTCAACTTTTAACTAAAATAGAATTTTCTGTACTATTAAAATAATTTGTAAACTTGAAGTTTTTGATTGAGATAATGGATGGTACTATACTAATTATAATTATTAATTTGACTTGAACGTCAAAATGAATTATGCTAAGTGCGTCAGCGAGTTGTCACGAAAAACCACGAGGAGAACTAAACATCCAACGATCCAACATATATTCACCCAACAAAAGCCTGAACAACGTCAGGATGATACATCATCCATAGTAACACAAGTCCATAGTAACACAGTTATCGATTAAACAACGTGAATACAGCTATCAATGTGAAAGAAATTGGAATAAAATGTTCGCACTTGATAAACAGCTGAAAAAGAATTAGACTGACCAAGCAATAGCGGTAATAAAACTAATGAAAGGAGAGCAGTGAAAATGGATCGATAAGAATAGGAAGATGTTTCGTAATGAGTATATAACTTTGTGTTGCTCATTATTATATAATATACATATTTACATTCTAGTGGAACACGGATTACAAGAATAAAGACGTTCATATATCATTACAAATATGAAGAAACGCCGACAATGCATCTCCATTTTGGTCGTTTCTACTGGCGTTTTTTTGACACAAAAATATGATATATTTGTATGATTGCTTAACGTCAATATATAATATAGCAGCAATTAATAATATTTTAAATATTTTCGGCGCAACGTTGCACAATAAAAATCTATGTCATAATCCATAATTCTCGGCTATAATATAAGTGACTAGTATTACGTTAAAATACACTTAGAGTTTCAATTCGATGAGGTGCATCTTACGCAGGTCATTTTCCTGTTTGAGGTTCAAACAAAATAATTCATGGACGTAACAAATGATCCATCAAATAAAATTTTGTTATGACTGTTACACATCACGTTATCATCAAGTGATGCGCATATTGGAAATTTCAATCTAGTTTTCTTTTCTTTTATTATTTTTATGTCTAATGTTCTATCCAGTTATTTGTTACGCCCACGTGATGGTCCCTATGATAATTGTTGCATACGGACATGTCAAACGATTAAACATCCTAAGCGTCCTAAATTCGCGAGCGCAATTAGTTGACTCGCGACGATTCCGAAATAGACATGGCAAAAATTATTATTTTTTCTTGTTCATTTTAATTCTTAACATCGACACGAGTAACAGTGATAATTGCTTACATCGAGTAGAGTCTTCATACCACTCGCGGAACATGATGGAACAACAAGATTTGGAAACTTACACTTTACTCAAAATCCTTTCGCATTGCTCGAACTGCCGCGGCCATTGTGACTTCGGCGATAAATCTATGATAACGAGCAGAGCTGCACAGTGCACTGCTTCGTTTATTCAAATCGCTATATATGAAAAATATTTTTAGTTTCACAAAAATAAAAAAGTTTAAAATATTTTATCAATTGTAAGTAAAAAGATAAAATAAAATTACATTTGGTGCTCTCTCTCTCTGTAAGAAAACAGAAACAATAGGTATAACTTTCTTGAAAATGTTGTGTATGTATGTGTATATATAACCACAAGTTATTTTTACTTAAATGTAACCTCACTATGTATTTTTTCACACAACAGCTTAAACGGCGCAGCAGTGCATCATGTAACTCCGACACTGAAACGGCGTAGTTCTTTCTTTTACATGTAACAAACACGTGCTTATAAGAACACATTTATAAATAGACACATGTGTACATGCGTACGCGATATATTACATATCGGTTCGTCTACGTGTGACAACACTTATGAGAGAGGAAGAAAATTCCTCTATCGAGACGTGAGTCGACTACTTTAATGTGATACTCTATGTGATAGAAAAATTGGCATTTGGTCCAAAAAAAATATATGAAATGCATGTGAAATCTGTATTCTCAAACAATACCCTATCTAGGCTTCGTCCCATTTTTAGGAGCCTGACGGAAACATTAATCGATCAACATCGTCATTATAAATGGTAACGAACGCTGTCAACTTAGATGTGGTTTCGTTTACAACTGTCACTGTAGCTGATTGGTGCACTCTACAAGCTTGAATGATTCTACGTAGCGACATTTTATTATGATTCGGTCCCACGGATTCATTTGTTCATCTTAAAAGTTTCATCAGGGCACATACTATAGTTGTGCTTAGTGATAGAAAAATATTTAACATGCAGTCCAGTAATAAAATTTTGCTGTAAAAATAAAATATTAAAAAATATAATTGTATCGTATTTATAATTTATATTATAATTTGTACAAGTCGAAATAATGGCTTTTTGTACCAAGAAATTTTATCGATTTTATAAGAGAAAAATAACGTTAATCTCAACTTTATTTGTTCATCTTAAAGTTTCATCAAAGCACACACATATTATGAATGTGCCTATTTGTAGAAAAATATTTGACATGTCTAGTAATAAAATTTTGCTGAAAAAATAAAGTATTGAAAAAATTAATTGTATTTAATTTATATTATATTTTGTACAAGTTAGAACAATGACTTTATATCAGGAAGTTTTATCGATTATGATATTGTGAGGAAAATATCATTAATATCAACTCTTGTTTTCTGATGTATCGTTCTATCTTATTTTTATCGAAGATATGAACTTGCTACGATATAGAATAAACCCATGGAGTCGCTATTTTCATATAAACACATACACATAGTCGTCGAAAACACCGAATGACGTTCATCTTCTATCTCGCAACCGGAAACGTTCATCGGCCGTTTTTTTAAATCTTTAGTATTAAAGTGCGATTAAATTAAAAAATTGCAGTAAGACGCAATTTCAGATATCGCGTAATGCAATCGAAACTTCGTAGAATTTATAAGTTCTCGAACAATAACAATGTCAGAATTGCAAACAAACGAGTCGTCCTTTATATTCCAAAATGGCCGATTTATCGCACGTGAGCCATCTTCATTAAAATTATTCAATAAGATTGTCCAGTCTCATTCTTTATATGCCATTCCTTACAACTTTCATGACAAACGGACGGCAAGATTTTTGTACAGTAAACGTCATACGGGGGATTCTATTACTATACTACTATACGATAAAATAGGTTGTTTATCTCAAGTTCAAAAACAGTTGCTGAACAAAGCTAACTACGACATCGGTGGGTTTTGGTTACTGATCGCGCTGATTGATCGAGATTATTCCTCATCGATAGTAGGCTGGACTTGTAGTACGTCCTTTAGGATCCTGTTGTCATATTGCTGCTCATCGGGTACTTGGAGAGTAGACATGGATGTGGAGGTGGAAGTGGAAGTAGACGTGGAGATGGACATGGAAGTAGAAGTGGAGGAGGAGGAGGAAAAGGACGAAGAGGAAGAAGGAAAAGAAGAACCGTGCAACAATAACTGTTGCACGGTACTCTGTTCTCAAACTTTGCTTTCAGGTCCGTCAGTGGTGTGCTTGAAAGAATTACGGATTTTGCTGAGATGAAGGGCAGCGATATGTCCATAGCTCTTATTGTACCATTCAGGTGTGCGTCCCCTGAAAACAAATTATTCCATTTGGATTTTCATCTAATCTCAAGTCTATATTTAATATAAATTTATTTCAAATAAATAATGAAAGAATTATTTTTTAACAAATAAAAATAATTAATTAATTTTAAATAAATGAAGATAAATAATTCGCGCTTCAAATAAATTTGTGTAAAACATTTCTAAATAAATGTCAAGAATCGAATAAGATAAAGTGGGTTATATAAAGAAAAAAATTTAATATCACTTACTTTGTATCGACTCTGGATAAATGCATAATGCGAGATTTGCCACTACCGCATGGTTCGATAAGATAACGTGAGGCCAAAACGATGCCGCGAGTTCCTCCAAGCATGACAGGGGCATCTGGATGTTGCACGGATGTTTCGACAATGACACAAGCACCTTTAGGAAGATCATTTCGCCAAGATCTGCAAAAATTAATTATACTAATTAGAAACTGTAAACATCTCTACTAATCGTTCACGAGAAATAAAATATTTGTTATTTATAAAAATACAATAATTTTCAAATATTTTCTTTTTATTTAAAATAAATAAAAAGAATACGAGATTTTTGATCATGACAATTGATGTAACTTTTTTAATTCACCTTAATACACAATAATCTCGGGCGGGAAGCGGACTCATGTTTCCGGTAGCGTATTGGAAGACCTCCACATTGGTGTC